CGCCTCGGTGTCGCCCAGGCTGGCAGGTTAGCAGGCTGGCTGATGCCAGTGGAGCCGCCAAAGCCGGACCCCGCGGCAGCAGAGGAGAGAGGAGAGGGCGCAGCGCGGTTAGGGTGCGAGGCTGAGACTCCTCCCTCGGCGCAGCTCCAGCGCAGGGATTCCCCCCTCTCCGGCAGGCCATGTGACCTGCGAGCTGCTGCGCGATTGCGAGCCCCCAAAGCTGGTTTAGGGTGGGGTGGGGAGGACAAAAGAAGCCAATTGATGAGCAGCTGAGGAAAAGCAGGGGTCGCCCTCAAGTCATGGGAGCTGGGAGCGTGTCCCTTCTGTGAGGGGAAAAGAAGCCAGCATTTTATTCCGTCAGGTGAGCACGTAAAGGTTGATTTACATTAATGAACTATCTCTCAGTGGGAGTAAGCGCTTCATTAAAAAGAGATTTGTTTGAGTTCTGAATATTTTTCAGCCGTCAAAAAATTCTACTTCAACAGAAATTTTCCTAAGAGCAATAACGGGAGATACGAGAAAATATGTATGTGGAGTCACCATAATCCCTGAGGAGCAACACTAGTTAAAAGATATGAAAACCCAAGGAAAGATAAAAATGTGTATGTCAAAAAGAAGTAATAGGCAGCTACAGTCTGTGATGGCCTTTCCTTTTGCCAGCGTTTTCACCGCACAGTTTTATTGTCTTTTTCCTTGCTTCTAATTCTAGGTCGGTTTGCCTGTCTAGGCCAAGGTGTAGTACATTAGAAGAACAATACTTTGAGATGAAAATTATGTGAAATTTGAATTTTGGTGATCATAAAGTTGTACTGGAACACAGTTATCATAAACATGTTATGCTGTTGCACTTCTTCAGAGTTAGTTGTAATAAAGGCCTACAACCTGCAAAGCCCTAAATGTTTTACTGTTTGGTATTGCTACCATGTGCATTAAAAGGTACCAGACTCCTGCAGTTGGTTCCAGTACCCACCCGTCCAGTATGCGACCCAGGCGTGAGAAAATATGTTAAGAGGCAGAACTAGGAGAGTAAAAGCAGGAAGACCAATGCCCGTGTAACCAACAAAGGCACTGGCCAGTCCCAGACACTGACTTTTATTGGCAATCGATTGGGATAAAGGTGAGTTACATGCAGTTTCTATAGAAATTACTATAAACAAGGCTCTTAAAGGATGAGACAAATCATTCTCAAATTAGGAACAATATAGACAAAATATATGGTCATGATTAGAATGTTGTCCTTCTAGTCAGGAGGTTTCATTTGTGGGAATGGAATTTGGGTGTGAGTTACTCTGACCTTGGCTCGTAGGCTTCAGCCAGACTCACTTCTAAAAACAAGCCAATTGTGGGGTTAACTATAGCTTCCTTTGGGTATAATCAATATTACGGTCTTCTGCCAGAAGGTCTGTTCTGCAGTTAGAAGGGGAAACATCAAAATTGGCAAATGCTACCAGATTGGGTATGAGTCGAATGATTCTTTCTTGTGTTTGTTAGTACAGCTGATAACTATATAGTAAGCTCCTCACATCCAGCCACCTGAGCATCCATTTATAGTCTTTCAACCAACATTTACTGAAGAATTGCTCTGCCATAGTGTCAGCTGTACAGGTGAGAATGAGATGTGAATCCTGTAGTTGAAGAATTTGTCATCAGGGATGTTGGGAAGCCTGTACACGGTTAGGAAGTATGATTGTCGTCTAAAATCAAAAGACTGTGACAAACCTAAATAATTCAGGTCACTGTTCATGTCTAGTGCTGGGTTCCATTTGTTGCATCTAGGGGTCCCCAGACTCGTCCTTGATGGGCTTGTCTCTCTCCAACACAGAAAGAAGAGGAGATAGCAGAGAAGACCAGTGCAAAGCAGAAACTTAATTGCAAGAAGAAGTAGTGCAAAGTCACTCTGAAGGAGTGGGGGCTGCCGGAGCTGGGTCACTGCTAAGTGTGGGCCAGCAGTCCTGTTTTATGGGGTAGGGGATCTCATCGCCACCTCCTCCAATGGTCACTACTCGGTTGGTTATTGAACTTGTTGCTAGGGGGCCAGGTTTGGTGGGCTAATAGGAGAATAGGGGAGAATAGAGAATACTTAAAGGGGAACTTAAGTGGGTTAACGTCAGCCACACAGAAGCAGGGGTCAAACCACGGGCTGTCAGCTCAGTTGTTTGTTCTGATGCAGAGGCTACTTTCTTTCCACTGCTTAAAAGGTCTAAACCCCATGTGAGGGTCCTGACTGTCTCTATACCATCTACTTACTGGCTAAGACAAATTAACTCCTGTGTGTCTCACCATTCTCGTCTAAATGGTGGGGAAAGTGAGATTTTTTCTTTATAATTTGTTTGGAAGGTTTACAGGAGATAGTGTGCATAAAGTACTTAGCACCATGCCTGGCAAAATAGCTAGCATTCAACAAATGGTTGGCAGTTATTCATTTGCTTAGCAAAAATTTACTGAGTACCTATTATAACGTGCCAGGCAATGCCTGTGCTGCCCAATCCGGTAGCATTAGCCACACATAGCTATATAAATTAATCAAAATGAAATACAGTTTAAAAACCAGTCCCTCAGTAGTGCTACTACAATTCAAATATTCAATATCTGCCCGTGGTTGGTGACTACTGTATCAAATGGTGCAGATTTAATACTTTCATGATTGTAGAAAGATCTGTTGAACAGTGCTGTTCTGTACACTAAAGATTGGGCAGTGAACAAAATCAAGTCTTCACCTTTAAAGAGTTACATTTGAGTGGACTATAGATAGCAAACAAACAAAGGCATATTTTATCAGGTGTCATCAAACAATTCAAATAATACAGTCACTTTGGATTTTCTATTACTAACGTCTTAATTACTTTCTCGTCTTTGAGACACAATACTGGACACCCACAACGGAAAGGAGGACAGGATTATTTTGGCTCACAGTTTGAGGAAGTTTCAAGAAGGTTTCTCATGGCGTGGTGGACAGGAAGCAGATGGAGTAAAGGAAGCAAGGGAGAGAGAGATCCCCTTTCACGGCACGCCTCCAGTGAGCCACCTCCCAACAATGACATTTAACTATAACTCCCATGCTTCCGAGATTCACTACCCTCCCAAAAGGCCCATCTAGGACCACATGAGGCTTTGGGGGAATATCTAGATATGAACTATAGCAATTTTGTTCTAAGTGTGTTTAGTTTTAGTAATTCTCAATTACTGCAATAACCCTTTTGAAATAGTTAAGCAGTTTACTCAAAACCAAACTGCTAGAAAAATACAAAGCAAGAATTCAAACACCTATGTAGTCTAGCTCCAGAGTCTGTTTTCTTAATCAATGTGTATAATTTTGGGGGGAATGATAAAATGGGTTAAGGGGATAAAGACTAGTGTCAGGTACTCTTATAAATATTTTAATGATCATTTCAATATCCACACGAATAGGATGTATTATCAGTCAGGCTCTTCACAGAATTAGCACACTGCAATGGAATAACTGAAAGGAGTTTAATTAAAACTATCTATTTACAAAGGTCTGTGTGGGATTAAGGAAAACCAATAAAATGTGATGTACTTCAGGACTTATAACAGTGGGAAACCATTACTAATCCTAAACCCAAAGGGCAAAGAAGGAGAAAAGCTATTAGAACCACAAAGAATAATTGTAAAGAAGATGCCATCCTATAGAATTTGTATAGAAGGAGGCAAGTGGCCTATTCAGGAAAACGCTAGGGGGAAAAGAACCTAACTTTACTGTCTGCCATCTTTTGTCTCCTGGTGTCGCCTATTGGTTGGACCCAACAATAACCTAGAGGGCAGTCCATGTGAGTCAGATATCCCAACTTAGAGTGGATTAGATGTTCAGGAGGCTCATACAGAAAATCTTAGTACAGTCTATAGCTTCTGCCCCTGAACATCTTTTCTTGTCATTTATTCATATAAAAATTGGACATACAGGGGCCAGGGATTTAGCTCAGTGGCGCCGCACCTGCCTCATGCAAAGTCCTGAGTTCAGTCCCTGGTACAGCCAAAAACAAACAACAAACAAAACATGGACATACAGATAGAGAATCAATAAGAGTTCAATTAGCTATCATAACAGGATAATTAAATTTAGATATACTTCCACCTGAAAAATGAAATGTTAATCATTATTGTTACTCTTTCTATAATGTCAGGGAAAAAAGGAGTGAGGACATGGGATAATTAATACAAAACATAAGTGTTAGGATCCCTGCTTCTATAGTTGGTTGTGCAATTTAAATTTAGAACCCAAACATCTTTGTGACACTATTACATGTTCACCTTTCTTTCTTTCTTTCTTTCTTTCTTTTTTTGGTACCTGGGATTGAACTTGGGTCCTTGCGCTTGCTTGGGAGGCAGGTGGTGGAACCACTGAGCTAAATCCCTGTCCCTTACATGTTCCCCTTTCTGTCTACCAGCACTTCACTGTATGAGATTCTTTATTGAGTGACCCAAATCTTTGATCTCGCAGGATTTGTTTCCTTGATGTTCCTCTCTTTGGGTTATTCACTCATCAGGGAAATTGGATATGTGAGTACTCACATGGATTTGCCAGTGAATTCCTAGATTCTAGTTACAGTCTTCACACACACACCCCCCCCCACCTTATTGTTAGCAACAATTCAGTTTCAAATTTCTTGAAATCAATTGCTTAGAGCCATATGGTGACTCCTTTTTTTTTTTGCCTCAGTTTTCAATTCAGCACAATTCCAGTTACAACAATGTGAATTATCTGGTGGAAATAATTCTCTTTTGAATTTTAGGCCCCTAAATCCACCAAGTTTAAGATTGTGAACTAGGCAGAGAACATTCCTTAAGTAAGTTATTTGGTATAATGATGAGAAGACTATCTCCTTGCTCTTTTTTTGTTTGTTTGTTTGTGTTTTTTTTGGGGGGGTATTGGGGATTGAACTCAGGTCTTTGTGCGTGCAAGACAGTCAGTGGAACCACTGAGCTAAATCCCCGGCCCTCCTTTCTCTTTAATATTTGAATTCTGGCCATAAGGAAATGGTACCATGGCTATTGGTTTAAGAAATATACTACATTTTGTAGGAAAGCATTCCAGTCTCTCATATTATTTTAAAGTTGGTGTCATAACGGAGCCTTCTGAAGACTACTGCATCATTCAAGAATATCATCAACTTCTGGGTTATGGGGCCTGTAGTAAGACTACTGAATTCCATGGTTATGAGTCAGTTGTCATATATCATTTGATTTAAAATGCATTCCTTGGTCAAAGTTAATAAATGCATGAGCAAAGCAATGTTAACTGCCATTTTACAATTCTATGAATAGCAGTACTGGCAGAAGAGCTGTGGGCTGTGAAGAAAAGACCATACCTAAAATGTATATCTATCCTCCAAAATAGATATATCTGTCCTCCAAGATAGATATACAACAAATGATTGTTCCCTCCAAGATACAAGATGTGCAGTGCAATGAATGTGCTAACTCATGGCTGGTTGGCCTTCTTAGGACAGCAATCCACAAACATTTTGGTACCAGGTTTCATGGAAAACAATTTTTCCTATGGACCTGAGTATGGGATATTTTCAGGATGATTCAAACACATTAGATTGGTTGTGCACTTTATTTCTATTATGATTACATTGTAATTATATAACTCACCGTAGTGCAGAATCAGTGGGAGTCCTGGCCTTGTTTTGCTGCACCTAGATGGTCTCATCTGGGATTGATGGGAGTTAGTGACACTCAAAGTGTGTTATTTATATTCAGTCTACTATGTGACCTCAGGTTTGTTGCTGTCACTCCAGAAAATGCTGCTTCACAAAGATTGGATGTTGGAAATCGAAGGAGGCTTTTCAATGCTTTTGTGGCAACCTTAAGATATCTCTGCTTTGGCTAATTCAGAACATGTGGAGCTTGAAGTTGTTTCAAAAATATTTTTAAGGTCACTGTCATTTGTGATCTCAAGTAGTCAATCCTCCTTTAGCATATCATAAAGGGGTTTCTTCCTAGTTCAGAGGTCTTTTGTGGCTAGAAGCCTTTTTGAAGCTGAGATAGGCTATCATGCACCTGCTGAGAGAAGAAAGGCCTTGGTTCAGTCTTTTTCAAAATCTCTGCTACTGTTTGAGATAGCAAAAATCTCACTGGTCTCTCAGTATCCCTCTTTTTCCAGTTTGTACTTGAACATGGCCATTTTCTCTGCCAACTTTAATATGGTTGTTCCCCTCTGAAGTGACAGATGGAGTTGAATTTTGAATATGTCATGTGAGTAAGCAAGTATCCCTGAAATATGCTGGTTATTTCTCTAACAGAAATCTCTGAAGTGGCTCTAATAACTCAAAAGCTGTAGCTAGTGATCTACCTTTAGAAAGCCATCTCACTTGTATATGAGATGTGTGTGTTCTGCATTTATCTTCTTACAGAGCAGTATGAAGAGACATGAGTTAAGAGTGTGTAGGTACTCTAATGTGGCTGATAGTTTTAATCACATCCCTCAAACTACTGTTAAGTTCAAGTGATATTTCCCTCAAACTACTGTTAAGTTCAAGTGATATATATATTTTTTTTTTTTTTGCTTGCCAGCATTTTGCTATGGACGACTCAGTGTGTAGACTCACATTCAGAAGTTACCCAAATAGTGATACCAGGAAACTGTCCAGCAATGGCAGCCACTCTATCCATGCATAGACTGACACAAAATGATCCATTTAGTTTCCCAAATATGTAATCATTCAAAGATTTGAATAGTTCCACAGCTGCAGTGTTGGTTGACAGCAAAATTGTATATAACATATTCTCTTCCACATCCTCCTGAAAAATATGTGGAACATAAACAAGCATTATTGACTTGTTTTCACTATTGTCAACCTGGATTATGTACCATGGCAATTTATTAATCCTCTCTAGCAATGGTGCCATGATACCTTCTGCTATTTCATCAATTGGTCTAGTTATGGTGCCACTTTTGAACTGCAGCTTCTTCTCAAATTTTATGGCAAATGTTCTTAGT